TGAAACGACAGTCACAAATGGCTCCAAATTTAATACATATATTTTAACACACACTATTTATACAAGAAAATAACACACTTTAATGTTCATAGACTAAAATGTCACTTTAATCTCTCTTTATAAGCTCGGTAGTGGCCGTTACTGCTTCCTATGGCTCTTAATGTCTTTGCTCGGCTCCTCTGCCTCTTAACTCAGGTACTATGGCTCCTATGGCTCTAGCTCCTTGCTCAACTCTTCTGGCTCTTCTGCTCTTTGTTCGGCTCTTCTGGCTCTTTAGCCTGGCTCAGATTCTATGGCTCTTTGCTTGGCTCCTGTAGCTCTTTAGACTGGCTTAACTCATTTGGCTCTTTGCTCGGCTCTTTAAGGCTCTTATGGCGTAGCTTCTCTGGCTCTTGAACTTGGCTCCTCTGGCTCTTGAGCTTGGCTCCTTTGGCTCCTGAACGTGGCTCCTCTGGCTCCTGAACTTGGCTCTTCTGGCTCTTCGTTCAGCTCTTTGGCTCTTTAGCCTGGCTCCTCTTGAGCTTGGCTCTTCTGCTTCTGAACTTGGCTCCTCTGGCTCTTCGTTCAGCTCTTTGGCTTTTTAGCCTGGCTCCTCTTGAGCTTTGCTCTTCTGCTTCTGAACTTGGCCCCTCTGGCTCTTTGTTCAGCTCTTTGGCTCTTTAGCCTGGCTCCTCTTGAGCTTGGCTCTTCTGGCTCTTCGTTCAGCTCTTTGGCTCTTTAGCCTGGCTCCTCTTGAGCTTGGCTCTTCTGCTTCTGAACTTGGCTCCTCTGGCTCTTCGTTCAGCTCTTTGGCTCTTTAGCCTGGCTCCTCTTGAGCTTGGCTCTTCTGCTTCTGAACTTGGCTCCTCTGGCTCTTCGTTCAGCTCTTTGGCTTTTTAGCCTGGCTCCTCTTGAGCTTGGCTCTTCTGGCTCTTTAGGCTGGCTCCTCTTGAGCTTGGCTCTTCTGGCTCCTGAACTTGGCTCCTCTTGCTCCTCGTTCAGCTCTTTGGCTCTTTAGCCTGGCTCCTCTGGTTCTTGAGCGTGGCTCCTCTGGCACGTAAGCTTACTGGGAAGGCTCCTAGCTGCTCGTTGCTCTAGAAGTCCTCCTGGAACTATCTATCGTCAGTGGTGAAACCGAAACTGACAAAATAGCTCACACTGTCTCTTTGCTCAGCCCTTGTTCTTACTGGGAAGACTCCTAGCTGCTCGTTGCTATAGACGTCTTCCTGGAACTATCTATCGCCAGTGGTGAAACCGAACTGACAAAATAGTTCGCTACGTTCGGAAGTTTCTCAATTGCACCTTACAGCTAGTGGTGGAACCGAACTAACTATAATGCAAGGTTGCTTCAAGAATGTTCCTATCTGCTTCCTCAAGGACAACACTGAGCACTGAAAAACTCTTTACAGCACTCTTAAGAATGGAAGTATGAAGCTATTCTTGCTTTCAATTAAATCTGACAAACATCTCACTAACTTTAGAAAGCCTGGGACATAAAATGGCGACACACAGTAGATCTTGATACCCAATGAACTAGAAATTACGATCAGTCAGAGGCATCTCAGTAGCATGCTGATCATAAAGTCACAAATTCTGGTATGCATGAAATTAAAAATTACAGTCAGTCAGAGGCATCTAGTAGCATGCTGGCCATAAAATCACATAAACAAAAAGGAAAAATCTCACCCGAATCAGTGCTGCTTTCTCTTAGGCCCAAAAATTCGAGTTTCCTCTCATGTTTCTCCTTCTAAAACGTCCTGGTGTGTCTTCCCGCTTTATTCTTCTTAACTTATCCCAAATCACTGGCTGATGGCTACTCCAAAGCACGATAATTGTAGATTTTCTTCCAAACCTCAATTCACACTGCTTCATTCAAGATGGCGACCTTCCTCTCTCTCACGTGATGGCATGAGTCATACAGGCACAGGTTATCACATTTTGAAATCAGGGGCACTGCATTGCAGCAATTGAGGGGAATCCCCTTCCTGTCTTGGAATACCCTGGAATTCCCTCTAATAAAC